TGCATGGAGTCTGCATGTTCTCCCTGTGCATGCGTGGGTTCTCTCCGGGTACTCCGGCTTCCCCCCACAGTCCAAAAACATGACTGTTAGGTTAATTGGTCTGTCTAATTTGTCCTTAGGTGTGTGTGTTTGTGTGTGTCTCTGTGTTGCCCTGTGATGGACTGGCTCTCTGTCCAGGGTGTACCCCGCCTGATTGCCCGTTGACCGCTGGAGATAGGCACCAGCCCCCCCCCCCCCCCCCCCCCCTCCCCCAGCGACCCTACGTGGACAAAGTGAGTTCAGACAATGGATGGATGGATGGATTATGTAAGCTAGTTACTCTCTGCTAGCCAACAAAGCTGCAACTACTAAGCAACCAAACAACCACAGCTAACTGCTTTGGATATATAAAAAAAAAAACATTTTAGATAACAGCTTGATAGCTACAATTACTTGACTTGAAATTTGCCCATGAAGTAGCTGCCGGCTTCTGATCCGCCATCCTTTGGAAAATACTGCGGTGTATTCTGGGTCATTTTTGAACAAGGCCAGGCTACAAGTCACCTCCTGTGAATCCTTGCTCAGCTAGCTAAACGGCTAAAAAACGGAGAACAGAAGCTTTGGTAGAACATGAACATTGGAACACGCCTTGGCGGTTCCTGATGACGAATCTCCTAGGCAACTGGGGAGAGACCAAGACATCAAGGCAAGGGTCCTTGGCATTGAGAAACAGGGATTTTTGACCCTAATGGCCATCTGTTGGTAAAGTCTTTCTCGAACACAAAAATACAGCTTGCTTGCAATGATTTAGGTATTTACTGCCCCCTATCGACTGGGATATAGTGTAGTATACACCGTCACTTTAATTAGTTACCAAATGTCCAGGATAAAAAGTGATCCATCCATTCATTTCACATACATGGTACTGTGCTGGGGGGCTGCACAGTGACACAGTGGTTAGAGCTGTTGCCTTGCAGCAAGAAGGTCCTGGGTTCGCTTCCCAGCCTGGGATCTTTCTGCATGGAGTTTGCATGTTCTCCCTGTGCATGCGTGGGTCCTCTCCAGGTACTCCGGCTTCCTCCCACAGTCCAAAAACATGACTGTTACATTAAATGGTCTGTCTAAATTGTCCTTAGGTGTGAGTGTGTGTGTGTGTGATTGTTTGTCCTGTGTGTCCCTGTGTTGCCTTGCGATGCCCTATGTTGCCCCGCCTGATTGCCCATTGACCACTGCAGATAGGCACCAATACCATCCCCCACCCCCACCCCCACCACCCCCCCGGCGACCCCACGCGGACAAAGCAGGCTCAGACAATGGATGGATGGATGGATGGATGGATGGATGGATGGATGGATGGATGGATGGATGGGTACTGCGTTGGGTCAAGGGCAGTTGCTACAAAAAACAAACATTCTGAATAAACCAATAGTCTTGTATCATAGAGTATGTACACATCTTTTCAATAAACCAACCTGCTTACAAAATAAGTTATATATTGTAATTGAGTGCTTTAAGAGCTTAATATATTACCTCTACTTATGACCATTAAGCTGTGATACTCTATATAAATATAGAATATCAACCTGATTGGTCTTTGTATATTTAATCAGAAGATTCTTGGATTCTTGTTTATTCAAGGATTGTAAACACTTCGTTTTTGATTCAAGGAAAGAGTCAGGTTTGTAAAAGTAAGAATTTATTTTCCAAACAATTAAAACATGACAAGTTAACTAATATTTACTGTGATGGATGAATCTAGATGGAGGAGATGGTAAATGGTGCCTATGTGTGAATGCAATGTTATCAGAACTTCCGTATCTAGGAAAGTTGAGTTCTGAGTGTAAAAGAATTTGGCTTGTGTTAAGCTATGAAGTTGATTATTATCAAAAAGCATGAGATGCTATCTGTGTGTCTACTTGGAGACCCTCTTCGTGGATCCGAAGGTCAGAAAGGTTGGATGACCTCTGGCACCGAGGGCTGTAGAATACCGTGGCACGGACTCTTCAGTCCAGAGATGTCTCGGGTCAGGACAGATGGATGGAACCGCACGTCTGGGACTCTTAAGGAGCCGGAACAAAATCAGCTTTGTTCCAGGAACCGTTTTCTGCGTCAACTTTGCAACAACCTTGACAGCGTGTCAAAGCTGCTTCTTAGTTAAAGAGAATTCACCACGGACGGCCGTTTCCGTAGCTTCCTCTAGAACTCTGAATGCTGAGTGATGAGAGCTGGACCTTGAACTGGAACTGCAACTCGATGGAACTGCTGAATCACCAGAGTGATTCTGTTTTAATATTCTCATGTTATGATTTGTGTGGCCAACCAGAGGTTGACATGTTGAGGAATATTACCAAGACAACCTTAGAAAACACGCCTTCTTTGATACCGGATGCTCTGATCTGGGGTAAAGAAATATCGATGTGTCACGCATTTGATTTAACTTTACCTTGTCCTTGTGTGAGTCTAAATGGTGATGGCCTCGTCATATCAACATAACGGATCAATGTAATCATGGCATTCATTTCAAACTTCAGTCATTCAAGCACAGATTAATGAAAGCATTTCATTTATATTATAATTATTATAAGTGACAATAAACAAACGTTTATTTAATGATTATTTAACTTATAAGTTTTAAAAGTTCATATTATATCTAAGAATTCATTTTTTGAGTAAGTAACTAATCTGAGCTGCGAGTGTTCACTTATTCAGAAGCACGAAGAATCCTGTAGGACGATAAGGGAAGCTTGAGGCCTTGAGGAGGGAACATCATTGTTGACAATACGTTATCATGTGTTCAGGGCTGCAGAGAGGCTCTGAACCCCAGCCGATGGGATGAAGGCAGGCAGATTAAAGAAAGCACATGCAGTCTCGTGTCTCCATTTTGACCAGGTATTGAAGGGTCAAACTGTACTTAAAAACTGACCATTACTGGACATTACAATATTTAAGTCCAGCTTTCTTAGACTGACACAACAGATGACTCTGGCTCCAAATTTGGAATAATTAAGCTAGCAAAATGTAATCCGGTAATTTCAAGTAAAAACATTTTTAGTGTTAAATGTTATTTGTAAAATTTCTCTTGTACACCTTTGGTGTGTATTAAATGGACATAAACTAATAAATATGCACCTAAAGTGACACTCCAGCTTCTGGTTGTGACTAAGGACAGCCTTATTAATGATTACTCGACAGAGACATAACGAAAAAATAGCAGAGTTAGACATAGACAATTCATCTAGCCATCAAGTATGAATAGTCACAACAATCACTCACAAAATGGGAGACACTTACTCGTTCCCAGGAGAATTGAATAATGATTGGCTAGCTTGTAAAGTTTTAGTAGAAACTGAGAAATATTTGAACAGCTATAACTCCAACCCCTGCTTCCCCTCTGCTTCAGGAAGGAGCTGAAAGTCACACCTCATACTGCACAAGCACATGCAGATAGCCTCGTAGCACCAACAAAGGCCTGCTGTCGCTGCACGTTTTTGATATGTTCCTGCTCAAATACAGTGGTGAATTAAATCTCCTCAGCCTTCACCAGGTTCTGCAGGAGCTGCTAATCACTCATTTTGTTCAAATATGCAGTGTTCAAGAGTAGCACACCCCTGCTATCGCTACAACAGGCTAACAATAGTTCAGTGTTGTACAAGGTTGAATGCTATTTGCTTATCACTTAGCTCCAATACACACAATACAATAGAGATCACTACCCTCCCTACTCGTCCACGGTGGCCTTGAAGTTTACAGACTGACTTTAACTCAAAGCAGGTCGAGTTAGCAGTCAAGCTAGGTTGGTGTGAAAAGCTGATGGAGGTAACTGCATCACCCCGCAGTGCATGATGGGTACTTGGAGGGATCCTTGTTGACTGATCCTCTTGTGGATAAGCAACTCTATTGGTCAGTGCTCCATAGACTCGTGTAAATGATGCACTATGCTGTAGAGGCTAGGGGAGGGACTTGGCCATAAATTCTGAAAGATTATCTATTTTCTATCATTGGGCCAGGTGAGATAGTCCAATTTAAGTATTTTTTTAAGCTACCTAAAAATATAAACTAATTATCCCAACCTTAAGATTTACTTTTAGATTGCCAGTGTTGTTGTTATTCCCTCTAAGAATGAAGCCTATTGCAGAGCATTTCAATCATCTAAAATTAAACAGAAAAGCGCAGTGGACCTGGATGGCTCAGTGAAAACCAGCTTTGATGGAATACTGTCAGTTGCAACACCTTGCAACATGACACAACCAGTGTGTAACATGTGATGCAAAACGCTGTATAAAAGCACTTTAAATTGTTTTTTTAAGTTTAAGATCTTTTGGATGGCACACATCTGGAATAATCTGAGGAATCTTTACCTTGACTCTTTCATGAAAAAAGATCCACAATAAATCTCTTGTTTTTGCTCTCTCTCCCGACAAACATGGCCCTCAGTTGGTTTCGTCCATTGACAATACCTTTATAGCTTACTGAAATAAACCCCCCTTTGTGTTGAGGAGATGAGATGAAGGAAAAACAATATTTGCATAATTCTTCCATCATTTGGAGACAAACACACTGCCAAAAATGTTTACTTTTATCTCAGTTCAGAAACATTTTGAGCTTTACCCTCAGCCAACATGCAAAGTATTTTTCCATTTATATTGAAATCGGCTACCTGCAGGTTCTAACAGGTCTCCTGACAGTCAGTCATGAGGGAAATCACAGCATCAAAATATCTAAACTGCAAACTAACCGACCAAAATTTGTCAGGTAAAAAAGTCTACCATTTCAGAGACCGAGTGTTCGTTTTTGAGTGGATTTGTCAATATGGTACACATTTAAGAACCATTTCACGGAGCTCACTGCTTCTACTACTGTTTATGTCTGTTAATCAGTTTTATTTCTTTATTCGCTTTAAAAATCCTCCCAGCAGATTTTCACTTTTTATTAAGTGAAAAAAATGAAAGGTTTACATAACTAAATACAAGAAAAAATGCAACAAATGGGATTAAAAACAAAACTCTTTTCTTGTTTTGCAGTGAGAGATGATGATGACTTCCTGAGCCTGAGTGAGCTTCCAGAAACCTTCCCTTCCGACCCTCCAGAGCCTTTACCTCACTTCCTGTTCGAGCCAGAGGAAGGCTACATTGTCAAGAACAAGCCTGTCAATCTCTACTGCAAAGCGACACCTGCCACACAGATTTACTTTAAGTGCAACAGCGAGTGGGTCCATCAGAAGGACCACACTGTGGAGGAGCGGGTTGACGAGAACTCAGGTGAGTGAAAGCTTGCTCATGTTCTCACATTTGCACAAAAAATAAAAAAAAAATATTGAAACAAAACAGAAAATGGTCACACAAGGACATCTAGACATTTGGTAACTCAAGTGCTGCTACATCTCAGTTCAACCAAAACGGGTGCTCAATTAAACTAAAAATAAATATTAAAGGGATATTCCACCCCCGAGTAAAATTTAGTCATCCGTCATATTCCCTAGAGTTAGGTAATTGGGAAAGGCATTTTGTAACCAGTCCGGTCAATTGGTAGTATTCTGTTAGCTTTAGCTTAGCATAAACAATGTAAGTGAATGGTAACAGCTAGCATTTGGTGCAAAAAAGTGATGGAGATTACTCAATAATGAATACAAAATTTCTTGGCTACCTCAGCATTTTCTGTCATTATGGTGACTTGTTGCATATATTATTCTGTAAACATAATGATAGTAAACGACAAGTTTTGAGGCCGCTGCACCGTGTTCTTGATAGGGATGTCCCATTCCAATATCGATATCGAAAGTAATTCAAATGTAATTCTTCTCACAATCGGCGCAAAAACACTGTATCGGATTATATTGGACTGCATCAAAAATCTCCGATATAAGCAGTCTGTTAAGGTTCACATTTTTTCAGCCAATGGTTAAAGAAAATTGTCCTTTTTTTCATACTTAATGTTATTGGCTCTTGTTTTCCGATTGAGTAATATCACTTGATGAATCCTTTCATACATTCCCTCACTATGAAATAGGTAAAAGTATGTTTGATTTGTGCTGATATCATATCAGATTGGTATCTGTCAATACTGAAGGCTGCGGTATCGGCACTGGATCGAAAGTGAAACACTTGTATCAGAACATCTTATAGTTCTTGCGCCTTGCAGGAGCGACTTACAGCAGTGCTTTGTTGTAATGTAGTCCCAAATCTAAAATGGCTCCTGTAATTCCTTCATGCTACTTTTCTTTTGAATTGCACTCTATAATGCAGGTTAAGTATTGAGTAATTTTCTTGAACTTTTCACATGAAATGCTAATTGTCACCATTCACTTCCATTGTTTATGCTGAGCTAAAGCTAAAGGAGGACAGACAGATTAGGTAAAGGGTTGAGCTGGTTACAAAATCATTTTCTGCCCACTTATCTAACTCTGGGGAATGTGGCAACAGACTAAATTTCACTTAGGGGTGGAATATGCCTTCAAGGGTGAAATGTGAGAAAAAAGGTGCAGATATAGACACGTAAGAACAGTATCAACTGATACAATGCACATGCTTATTAGACAATTATGTATTTTACAGCAAACCAGTGCTTTCAAAGAGGTCTTGTTCCACATGCTCCCCAGTTAGCACACATTGGATGTTTTAACATTTCCTAAGCCTACAGATGCACTGCTACATTAGGATCAAGGCTCTTTTCCCTCTCTTATAAATGAACCTTTTGCCCTGGAGATATTGTGCTCCTTATGAAATTCCACTGGCTGAGGTCACCCCACTGTTGTTCAGATGTTTAGTTATTTTTGCAGAAAGAAGGGGTCACGAGTCCGATGTAAGAGTGCAGCTGTAGCAGTGCCAGTCTTGTACTCCAGTGTTCACAGGATACTTTAATAGGATCCAGAACGATGTACTGGACTGCAGCCAGCTCCACACTTGTCACTTGACAGCAAACAGTATTACTCTGCTGGCTAAGTAATGATGAATCGTGCTGTTACTTTGGCAGGGGGATAAAGACCTGTTTTTTTTTGTTTTTTTTTAGACTTAAAGTTGACGTGAGTTTGGCTTTTGTGTATCCACCTGCTCGATAATGAGCCCAGGTTCCAAGGGATTAAATGTGGGCTGAAAAGTACTGATTTAGAGTACCAACTGAGTGAAATACTGTGGAAAGCAACAGTATGTTTGTGATGGAGTCTCTTTTTTCTCTCAGGACTGAAAAAATTGTAAAAGAAATGGACACTGAAAATATTTTAGTGAGAACTTTCTTTGTAATTCAAACCAGACCCTATAAGTAGATGTTGTATATATATAGTGTGTGTGTGTGCGTGTGTTCTCTTTATGTATCGGATGCTTAGTGTATCTGCAGAAGTCCTGGTTCTGAACAGATGCCACACGAACAGTCGAGGCAGTAGAGAATATATGCAACTCAATCTATGAAAATTAAATGTGAAATGCACAAAAACAACAAGTGCAAATATAGGAGCTGGGCTACGTGCACACAGTGGATCGCTTCTGTCGGAGGGATTCTATTTCTTTTGATTTTTTATGCCATTTCTCTCCTTTTGCTTCACCTCGTATCATGTGATTTGTTGGAGAATTTATTCCTCAGAAGATGTGAACACCTGGGTGAAATTGTGATCAACTATCTATCTGTGCTCATCATGGTAATCATGTGGAGCTGCTTGACATTTATTAATCTCCCGTTCCCCGTTCATTTGCTAGCTGCTGGGTTCCAAACAGCGTCTTGTTAGGAGGAAATCCTTTTCAATTAACAACCCGCAGATCTAACTTGTCTCACTCTGGAGCAATTGACATGGTGGAAAATGTCAAGAATGTGAACAACGTGGTGCAATAAGAAATATTTTTCTCATTTATTAAGTTGGATTGGTGTTTGTTGTAACTTGAAGTTTTCCTGATTTTACTTTATTTCTGTTTTTCAGTTTTAGGTAAAAAACTGCTAGATGAAAATGTTCTAAAGCCACCACCTGTAGCTGTTCTGTCTTTTACTCCACTTGAATAATTAATCTATCAAACATGCCAACATTTTATCAGACATGCATGAACATTTAAGGAAAAAAATAAGCAAATGTAGTTATATTTTTGCAGAATATCAAAAAGCATCTGAGGTCTGGGACGACTTCAAAAGCAGCATTTGTTCTTTTAATTCCTTTTACAAGTATAATTTGCTTCAGACTGAGTTTGGTGAAACATAAATGTTTGCATTTCCCTGAAGAAACGGACAAAATCCTAATATTATAACGATGGCACTTCCATCCTGCCTTTTTGCCCTCATTCAAAGTATTTAGGCCACCTTTGAACAACAGACAAAGATTATTAAGTGATTATATATTATGCAACATACTGAATCTGAAAATAACTGCAGCCTGTGTGAACTGTTCATCTGGCGGCCCGTGTGAAAAGCTGTTGGCTGTTTTGCTCTCATTGTTTTTGTGCTGCTTCACCCTGTTCTGCTCCGTCTTATGTTTGTTTTTTAAAATTTTCTTCATAGTTTCTTTTTTTTTTTGCATCACGCTGATTTGGCTCTTCTCCAGTACCGAAATCTGGGGGGTGGCAGTCAGGTTGCAGAAGAACGTGGATGCTAATACGGTTAGAGAGGCTAACAGATATCAGAAATCCACTTTGAGAAGAAAGAAGATACTTATCCTTCTGTCTCTCTCACACCCCGTTCAACAGGAAGAGCAGAGCCATATCAGCCATCCCTGTCTGGGAGAGCATGTAACAGTGCTGTAGGTTTTCAACAAAGTTACATTATAAATGTATTTTTTCTAGATCATTAGTACAATAGGAGAAAGTATTGACCTTTTTTTGTGTGTGAATGGGTGAATGATTGTGTCGTAAGAGCCTTGGGGGTGGGGGGGGGGGGGTGGGGGGGGGTTGTAGAACCCTAAGAAGGTGCTATACAAATACTGTCCATGTTGGGATTATTAAGATAAAAATAATGTTAAATTTAATCACAACAGAGAGCAAACCTTTTAAAAGTTTGTCAGTTCAAAGAGACCGTTTTGGAAAATGAAACCAAATGAAACCAGATAAACTCAAAGTGATGGTGTGTGTTTTCCCTGGCGATAGGGGGCAGTACATACTTAAATCATTGCAAGCAAGCAGTATTTTTGTGTTGGAGTAAGACCGTACCGACGAATGGCCATTAGGGTAAAAAATCCCAGGGAGCACAACCTCCAGCCAAATGACAAGCAGATCAGACTCCCTTACATCACTGGCAACAAGTGTAAAACAACAATGTTCATGAATGGCAAAGGTTTGTAGCCGTTTGTTATAAATCAGTAAATGCATTTTGTCCTCACAGGCTCCAGTAGAAGGAGACATGGCATCTAATGGGGTGTCGCCCAGAGACTTGGGCCTGCTCCCATATATTTTAGACCTGGTTTTTAGGTTTACATGGTACAAAGCTACTAATGTTATTTAAAAACTGGGCATCATTTAATTCATTTTCAACATTTTCATGGATATTTCCAGAGATTACCAGTAAAAATTACACACTGTCTCTTTAAGAAGGAACAAAAACATGAGAATATTAGGGAGCCATGCCTTTTTTAAAGTATTAAATAAGCAAGTAAAACCTAATGTTAAAATCCTTGTTGGACCACCTGCGTTGTGCTAGAGCGCTACTAGAGGCAGCATCCTGTTTACATGGAGAAATGAAGCTTTTGAATATGATGGCTGTTCTTGATTTGATACAATGGTATCATTGTCCTGATGGGAGGAGATTAAACAAAGGGTGGGCTGAGGGAGATCTTTCACTATACCGAGATCATTTTTCTGGGCTATTTTAATAGAAACAGACTTTTAGGATGAGGGTGAGATCTCAATGACCTTGTCAGCTATTCTCACCCCACAACATGGGGTCTTCCTGCCATTCTCACTGCAGCTGGTCAGGATGCTCTTGCAGTGTTCTGGTGTAAAAAGATGAGAATGGAGGGATTCTTGTCACTTGCTTCAGTATCCTGAAGTAGTACATTCTCTTCCAAACTTTTTTGTTCAGGTTTTTGAGAAACCCTCATTGTACTCTCCCCCACTCTGTGTGCTGTTGATACCCTTCTCACTGAAATACTAGGTGTCCATGAGTTTCCATTTCTTCATTATTGATGAGTCCCTTCTTTATGTTATCAATAAATGCATTCATTTGGGCTGTTTTTATCCGTGCATTTATGTGTTGGAAGAGTAAAAAGCAAAGGACTGAGCACACATCCTTGAGGGACTTTCATCATAGTTCACTAATTGTCTATCCTTCAAGTCAAGTATTTTTTTTTTGTTCAGTAATTCTATGCCGTCTAAATGTCCACAGTAATTGTGTGATTATTGTGAGACCATAATGTGACTCCTGTATGTTAAAGATGTTAAATGCTGTACATTGTGAGCTTCGAGGCAGCTCAGTAAATTGTCATGTGGGGTCCTATCCAGAGGGTGGGAATGTCTGGTGAAGGTCAAAGGCATGAATGAAAACTGGAGCCAGTCACTTTAGAAAAGCAGCAGCAAGACTGTCAAAGGGGCCACTGAGGTCAACGTCCAACTGCGGAGGGGTGTTTTATTCCCTAACCAGCTTTATTACATGTCACAAGATTTTTGACAAATGTATGTAGTCTGACCTTTAGCTTGGTCTTTAAACACCTCATCCAAAACATTCCCAACTAAACAAATACTTAAAAAGGCAGCTTAGATACTTCTAATAGTGCTGTTAAATTAGTAGTAGGTACTTGTATGTTTTTTCTCACGGTCAAAGCATGACTTTAAGTCCCAACAAGCATACACATCTCACTTTGAAGAGAGTTTCTTAAGTGTTTGCTTTGGCATCATGTGTACCACAATGTCAGTACATCTCCATTAGCCTTGACGTGAGCTAATGACATATTGTATACCAGGTTACTTACTTTGTCTCCATTAGCCAAAGTGTGAATGGCTATTAGTCTGCTAGCAATGACCTGTGACTCAACAACTACACATGCACACACACACACACACACGCATATATATCAGTGGCACGTACGGTATTGGCTTTGGTGATTTGTGACCTCTTTCCCTCCTTTGCTGCCATCTGCCTTGTATTGATTTCTTTTCGTCTTTGTCTCTCCTTTTTTCCTCTGTTTTAGCTTTCCTTCTGCCTTCACTGACTCCCTACATTTTCCCTCCACTCTCCCACCATGCCTTTTGCTCTCTTTCCTTTGCTTCCTGTGGATTAGTGAGATTATTTGTTATAATTATCAACAAGCATTGAGATTTATGAAACGTAGCCTCTTGCGACTCCTGAAACGGGCGACAGCTGTGTGTTTGTATGTGTAACAGTGTACACAACAGATTTTTGGCTGATGATGTGTGTGTTTGCGTTTGGTCTGTGTGAAGGTAAGACTTGTGATTAGCGCCGGTATGCTAATCTGAGTATTTGTTTGTCTGATGTCGTGTGTTGGTGGGAATTGTTAGAGTTTGGTTCCGATTCCCTGCAGAACCTCTCCGGCGTCCTGGTTCAGTGCCTTTTTGGAGTCACCGAAGGGCGTAAACACACACACACACGCGCACACACACACACACACACACACACACACACACACACACACACACACACACACACACACACACACACACACACATTAGCATGTACAAGCAAGCTCAGAACCACTGTGGGACTGTGACAATCAGTCATCATCAGATTGAAAGCCATCCTCTTAAGTTTTTAAAAATTCTGTACAGCTTCCCGTTTTCAGTCACTCCAACAGTTTTTTTTATCTCCCCAAAGTAATATTAATGAGAAACACAGCATGCATTTATGTAATGCCATGTCAGTGGCCACAATTCAGCTAATTAATTTGTTGAATTGTGTCATAGAAGGCTTGTTAGTCTGATTTGATCAATATTACGTATAAATACCACGTCTGTTGAAGTAGTTTACATTCAGTGCAATGCCTTAAACTCCCTCACTCAGGCATTGATTAAACCTCTAAAACCTCATCTCTGTCAATATAATTGTACGTATTTTGCTATGAAAATCATCACTCATTGCCCTAAAATTAATCTGTTCTAACATTACACGATTTTACCCCATTAATATGTGTTATTATGGCTGTTAGATTAAATGTGTAAAACACTAAAAAGTATATGTCACATTAAAGAGCATGGAAGCCATAATATACAATTCATTCAATTATTCAACCAATTAAATCCCTTGTTACTAGAACTGAAATGACTCAACTAGTGATTCAAATCGCTCATTTACAAAAAAGTCCTTGAGGCAGAATAGTTAGATTTAATAATAAAACACGAGATCACTTCTCAGTCGTTGTAGACAGGCGTTGAATGCGACGGCTTGTGTAGCACAGAGAGGAATGACAACACACACTCTCTCAGGTCTAAATACTTGATCCTTGGGACTTGTAAGGATAAAACACCACCTTTATGGTCTGATCTATTTTAGGATTAAATTAGGTTTATGTTTAACTGATGTCTACAGGTTGTTATCAAAGGAATCACAAATGATTGGTTTTCTGTTAGCAGCATAAAGCTTTTAGAACAACTGAGGAGGCGAACCTGTCTGCCTTCAAGCTGATTCAGTGTCAAAACATAGTTTTTTCCATGATAGATGGGAAGAGCCCAACTTCCAGCTCGGTGCGTGTTGCGAACAAATCGTGTGGTACTTGGTTACTGAATTAGACACTTTGATAGAAACATCACTTACTGAAATGTCAGATATCTGCGGCCCTACTTGTATCTCTGTTACTCTTTTTTATTTTCTGATCGCTTTGCCTTCAAAATGTCCAAAGTCTGTTTTCATCTATTTAAAAGACTACCTTGTGTTGTTATGAATGTTTTTATTCATCTATTCACTTTAGACATCCTTGACTTGCAGTCCTTTTGTATTTCTGTCGACGTTAAAGCCATGACATATTTTTAAACCATTTTCTTGAGCCAGTAAGTGCTCAAATGACCTTTACAGGGTTAATGAAATGTCACTCAGACCACCGCCGCCCCCTGTGGCCAGAATACCACACTTGCAACTTCAGAGTGTCAGTCTGGTCCCTGTTGGACTTAGTAAAGTCTGCTTCCAGCACGTTTCCTGCATGTTTTAGATCATGAACTCAGCTGATTTGTTCTATTTAGTGATAAATCACTCCTGTAGAAACTAATGAAGGTTGAGGAGACATTTCAGCTGTTAGATTAAGATGTTAAAACAACAAACGCACAGCGAGGAGATGAGTTTCATCTTTGCTTTCACTAATGGACACTAGGCGGTGCTAAAAGCAATCCCAAGCTACCAAGTGTGCCTTTAATTTAAGAAGTTGTCCCTAAAATAAGGAAGAAAACCTTGATGAAGGTAAAAGAAAACCATCAAATATTACTTAACCTTTCATAGTGTCCTTTTTATTAATAAAATATGACAAGTTTATTACAAAGCGTTTCATAAACATACAACATATAAAATATTGTGAGTTTAAATAAAATAAAAACATACACTATAATTTGGCACAATAAAACGTGCATTTGTGTTTTTGTATTGCCACTACTGTGACAAACAAAGCTGCATTTCACTTTGTTTTTCTATTCTAAAAACCTTTATTCTTAACCGAAACCCTAAAATAAATGTGTCTGTAAGCTAGTGGCGAATCATTACGTTGATCTCAGCTTCGGCTAACAGCAGTACGAGCCTTTTCCAAACAGACCGCAGCGGAGCAAACTTGTTAAGAGTTTAGCAGCTCTGCTGATGCAAACAGCATACAGTTTCATACACTCTAAGAAATGAAACATGGGCTTTTTAAAAATTAATTCATAGTTTTATGTTCAATATACTTAAAATTTTTAATCTTAAGGGTGTAATTAATATTTTTAAATTTCATTTAATTAATTGTAAACCGTTCTAATGTTAAATAATATTGATGTTTCCAATTTATTGAACACTTTTAATTCAATCCAAAGAGCCCTTTCCACATCCTTTCTGAGCATGCGCAGAGAATGGGAAAAAAAATCTTCGCGCAGGCGCATTGACCTTCTTCATCTACGCCATACTGTTCTTTGGCCTCGTGTCTGGAAAGAGGGATTAATCACGATTCATCCGTTGGAGTTAAGGTAATTTCTTCCTATTTTTAATAGAATATAATTTAACTAGTACTTTGTGATAATGTATGGCGTATATTTTTCCGGTGAATATGTGGGCCGTATGTGTTCTGTAGGTTGTAGCATTTTGCTAGCATTGGAAACATTCATTAGCATATTCAACGTTACTGCACATCTGCATTTAAAATTTCATTCGAACTCCGAATAGCACACTTATTTTATTTGTTTTATTGCTCTATCAACGTTAGCCCGAACAAGAATTGGGATACATGTGCAGTGATTGTTGTTGAGTCCATACTCGTCTGTTTCACTGAAGAGAACCGCGAGCTGGTAGTTTGCAGTGAGTCTCAAAGAGACCTCTGAAGGTGACCCCCAATTGCCCCCAAAAATAAAATCAAGTATACTGGGTGGTTAGTGCTTCGTTTGTTTCGGTTTGTGCTGGTAAAATCATCGTTTCTATCGCTTCGGTGTCAAAGATATTGCACTTTTATTTAATAGGTCATTCAGAGTTCACCAGCCCCCGGCCAAAATCCGTGGAGTCTTGAAAAGTATTAAAAGGTGATAAATCAATTTCAGAAAAATTAAGACCCTTAAAAGTATTAAAGTCTTATCACGGCTTTATAAAGTCTTAAATTTTGAGATTTTTTTCTGAATTAGCCAACAGTTTGTTTTAGTTTTATTTTTTAAGGAACCGAGGGAGGGAGCATAAAAGATGAAAAAAAAAAACTAAGCTGTTGTGGGTGTTTTTCTCTCAGAGCACCAGGGTGGACGGGGTGGAAGCTCAAAAGTGCAAAGAACGCTCTGGTGTTCCCGGTGCATATTACGAACGCACCTAAATGTTAAGACGGAAGAGAATGTTGGTGAACGTGAACGCACAACGAAAATGGGGAAGTGCAAGTTTGCAGCGTCCTGGCTGGATATCCTGGATTTCAAAGAATGGCTGCAGCCAGTCGAGGGGAGCGTGAGGGAGGCATACTGTACGATATGCAAGAATTAAATAAGTTTCGTGTCAATGGGCATAAACTCCTTAAAGTCGCACATGTGTTGTGCTAGCCACAAAGCTGCTGCTAGCCGCCGAGAGCGGCAGCTACCCATCGCTAGCTTCTGTGGAAATCGTGTTGAACCACCACAACATAGTCCCAACGTAACGTCGCTCCACGATCGACAGTCGCACCTAGAGCCGGTCTGTCTCTGCTTCCTCATCTTCTGCAGCCGTTATCAGAGTGGCTCTGAGCAGCACAGCGACGCTGCATGCTGAGGTGTTAATAGTGTCTCCACACAGCGGAAAAACACCATTCCCTGAACTCAAATGAAAACTTGGCTGAAGTTTTCAAGGCTATGTTTCCAGATTCGGACATAGCGAAGTTGTTCACTTGTGGCAAGGACAAAACTGGATACATCATGTGATTCGGGTTAGCACAGGGGCGTGAACTCTGAATGACCTATTACATAAAAGTGTAATATCTTTGACACCTGTAGCGATACAAACGATGATTTTACCAGCACAAACCAACACAAAAGGAGCATTAACCACCCATACTTGATTTTATTTTGGGGGGCAAGTGGGTCATGTTCACAGACTGGGCTGCTCCGGCATATAATGGTAACCCTGCTCACAGGAACAGATTTATGAAATGAGTAATAGAAATTTTGGAGCATTTGAAATTTAGCTTGTATTATTAATACATTTTAAAAGAAACAGGAGTGTTCTTAAGTTTAGATCGTCTCTGTGCTACCCCTTTGCATGTGTCTCACTGTACACAATTAATTTTTTCTTGTTTTCTTTTTCTCTGAGGTTGCTGGTTGTGGAATTTTGGAGCTGCAGAGATTTGAGCTGTGCTCCAAAAGTGCATGTTGAAGGTACCAAATGCTTTCATATTATTTACTTTTTCCTTAATACACAATTTTAAATTTTGAATTCTCTTATTTGGTCTTTCAGGTTATGAATGTGGTGTTGTAAGCTTTGCTCTTTAAGTGTATCTAAAAGGTACCAAATTCTAAAACACTTGAGACTTAAACACTCGATTCTTGGTCTGAGACGCTCATATCCGTGCATTTACAGTCATTGCCCTTGTACTTTCAAAACATGGGGTGGTCTTAGGACTCATCTAAGTCGTACACATGGTGCTAAGCCCTCTCACACTGTAGAACGTGTTATATTGACTTGTCCTTCTTGTCCTGAAAGCCACATACCAACAAGCAGAGAATACTTCCTCCATATTAATAAACATCTCAAGAGGTTGGAGACAGTAGATTGTGTTTATCAAAATTGTTCTTTCAAAACTAATGTGTATGGTACTTTCCAGACACACAAGAGTAGAAAACATTCTTCATGCACGCTCAGAGATTTCAAAAATGAAATAGTGAAAAGAACTGAATTTACAAGTAATAATGATCTTTCTGAGGAGTCTGCAGATGAAGGGCCCCCTGACTTGGATTGTGAAGCTGGTGTAGTTGGTGAAAATTTGGAGGAAGCTGTAGTTAAAAACCTTGCCTTGGTTTTGTTAAAGTTGGAGGTCTTTTCACATGTACCAACATCAGCAATTGACAATTTACTCGAGGGGCTACATTTTCTATTCACTACTTCTGCTTTACCCTTAACAAATAGCTTAACTTTGGCCGTTCTCAAGGAGCATAATATTGAGGTTAGTTCATCGCTAGTGAATGAGTTGTGCACTGCATTATACACTGGAAATCCACTACTTAGAAGTATTGCAAAAGGAGGGTCACTTGAAACAACATTTAAGCGCAAGAAGTTTTACTATGAAAAGTTTAATGTTGTTGAGCCAGAGGAATATGTTCTAGAGGAAACAACAAAAAAAAACTTTCAATATATTCCACTGCTAAAGTTATTGGAGCAGTTACTTCAACGTGAAGATATTGTTGGAAAGCTAGTTGAAAACTATAAAAGGAGTCACTCAAATTCACAACTGCTTACATGTTTTCAGGACGGTGAGAATCAGAAGAACAATATTTTTTTTTCAAGTGAAGAGCTCAGAATTTCATTATGCCTATATATTGATGATTTTGAAGTGTGCAACCCACTAGGAACATCTAGAAAAAAACATAAACTTTGTGCGGTTTATTGGATTCTGGGCAACTTGCCTTCTGGTTGCAGCTCAGCCCTTTCTTCAATCTACTTGGCACTGTTGTGTAAAAGTGAATTAATTAAATCTTTCGGTTATGAAAAAGTACTTGAGCCTCTGCTGCGTGATTTAGTCAGACTTGAGAAGCAAGGTTTATTCGTGCCCCTCCTTGGTTCATTTATCAAGGGTACAGTTCAGTGTGTCGTTGCTGATAATCTGGGGGCCCATGGGCTTGGAGGATTTGTGGAGAATTTTTCAGCTAATTATTTTTGTCGTTTCTGTACAGCCCAGCTTTCTGATATAAATACGTGTGAGGTAAAGACAGGATCATTTGAACGAAGAACAAAGGAAAATCATCGGCTTCATGTCAAGACTGCTCAAGAACAAGGTGTGAACTGTTTAGGTGTAAGAAAATCGTGTGTTTTAACGGATAACCTCTCGTATTTTAATGTTGTTACTGGTTACCCTCCCGACATTGTGCACGATTTCTTTGAAGGAATTGTTCCTGTCGAGTTGGCCCAGTGTATTGACCATCTTGTGTCAAAAAAGTATTTTTCTCTCGAACAACTGAACAATCGTATTCGTTCTTTTCCTTACAAGGAAGGAGATAAAACTAATCGCCCCACTGTGTTATCAAAAGCTGTAAGTAAGAAGAAGAGACGTTCTCTTGGGGGTAACGCACATGAAAACTGGTGTCTTATTCGCTTGCTTCCTTTTATCATTGGGCCAAATGTCCCTGCTGATGAACCAGCCTGGCTGGTTATTTTAGACTTAAAAGATATTGTCGAGCTTGTAGTAGCTCCTGTCCACAGTCTTCAATCTGTTGCATATTTGGAATGTAAGGTCTCAGAGCACCGAAAGCGTTACCAACAACTATTTCCTAACCAAAAACTGATGCCTAAACACCACTTTATTGAGCACTATGCAGAAATGATCAAATGTTTCGGTCCTCTTGTGTCGTTATGGACGATGAGATTTGAGGCCAAGCATAGTTTCTTCAAACAGGCTGTTCGGAACATCAAAAGCTTCAGAAACATAGCCGGCTCTTTAGCTCGTAAACATCAGTTAATGGTTGCATATAGAATGCTTTGTCCTGATGATGAAAACTCTACAGATGTTACTCGCGTGACAGAAGTGCCGTTGGATGTCCTTAAAGACAATGTTGTGAAAAGTATCACTAACAAACATCCAGACGTGACTGCTGTTAACTTAGCCACTGGCGGTTTTGTGAACAATATTCAGTACAAAAAGGGGATGATTGTTGTGCACGGATCATGTGGTGGTCTACCAGATTTCTGTGAAATTCAACATTTGTGCATTATTAAAAAAGAGACCCTCCTTATTCTGAAAAGACTAAATTCATGGTACATGGAGCACTATAGGGCTTTTCACCTACAAACAACAACAGATGTTGTTGTTGTATCCATGACAGAGTTGGCCGACCCATACCCCCTATGCGACTATGAAGTTGGACACTTGCGGATGGTCACCTTAAAAAGACATATTCACATTGGTAATTGTTTTATTTTTTTTCACTCATTGTTCGGTAAACAAACATTTGTGGCAACAAGTAAGTTTAATACAAATAAAACTGTCATGTTTTTTAGACTATTGAGTAGTGTTTCATGATCCAGGAATTATCCATGTATGTATTTAGAAATATTGTCTGCTGGACAGTATTTCTTAAAAAAAATCCCTAAGGATAATCTATACACTGGTCTTGTTTTTCAGCTTGAAGAATGGCTGCTACTTTGAGGGTGATACTTGGAGTGGACAATTCATCCAAGTTGGTGCTTCCATCTGGAATCCCTGGTTCAGTGGACATTTTAAAAGAGGAAATACAAAGACAGTTTGGATTGACTGAAGATTTCAGGCTTCAATATAGAGATGTTGAGTTTGACAATGAATACATGAATCTAACCACAACTGGGGACATTAAAGACAAGAGTACAATCAAAGTAATTTACACTCAAAACTCTGAGCCGTCCACTGTGCCCACCACAGCACCCACAGCTGTCTCCAGAGAGACATTACCACAGTTTAATGCGCCATCCTTGCCAGACACTGACATCCTTTCCTCCTCAGACTCCAGTTCCTCTTGTTCATCTCTTCGCGTGCGGAAATGGCCCTTAAACTTTCCAATACCAACGTTTAGTTTTGATGTGGATTTTCAGTTACACAGAGCCCAGCAAGAATATGAAAACAATGGGACTCTCTTAGACCCGAGCCCAAAACTCAAATCTGACATATTAGATATGTTAGCATCAGAAATTGCAAAATACAAAGTTTATCCATCAAGTGGAGATATTGATGATGTCGCTAAAGCGTTAATTCAAAAATATCCCTTTCTCAAAGAGAACGGATCTGTGACTGGCTGTGAAGGCTGGAAAGTAAGCCTAAAATACAAAATGGCCAATTACCGGACAACACTGAGAAACATAGGGTGCCCAGAGGTGGCAATAAACACTCTACAACACAAGAGAGAACGAGAGGAGAGTCCACGTCGAAACAACGTCAAAAAGCCACGGAAAGCAGAAGTGAACTTTTTACCACAATACCCTGCAGGAGAAACAAACAAAAGTCTGGAGGAAGAACGACAAGCACTACTGATTGAGGTGAAGAAAACAAACAACGATCAAATAATCAAAATAAAGATGGATAAGACGTTTGCACACAGAAGAAGAGAGGTGATTGAAGAGATGCCATTCATCGCAGAGTTCAAGAGCAGATGGCCGGCCCTCTTCAAAGTACCCGAGGTATGTATGAGTTTGAGTCCTGGTTTAAAACTGGCCGTGAACAGAAAAGTACTGCTACAAAGGTGATGTCACCGAGCTGATGTCTTTTCAGCTTAGTTGTGTTGTGAGAAAGGCATCACCAGTGGAATGAAAAATTTTGGGAAAACTTTGCTAACATTTGATTTTATTTTATTGATTAGCATTCAAATATCTCAGTGAAGACAGAATAAAGATTATCACAAAGCAAGAAAGCATGAGACAAGGCTAATCAAAAGGTATTGGCTGAAGCATTTGCTTATTACGCCAACCCTTTTAACAAAAGATCTTTTTGCATGCAGCTACTGTACACAGGGCTCGGAAGCATAAAACAAAGCCAAAACAGACAAACCAAAAAAAAAAAAACTTTCCACCTTAGATAAATAACTACATCAAAGCAAAACAATCAAGTTGTTTTTTTGTTTTTGTTTTTTTTGCTCTTTTCATTCTTGATTTATATATTTCTCTAATACTCTATTTTATCATGATACACGTCAGTTTCATTTTACAACTAAAGTGCAAAATCGTACTGCATGCGTGAGGCACTCTTTTGCAGCCACCTGATTGTGCCAGTCCATCTATAAATGTTTTGGGTGGCATATTGGAATAACTTTTCTGTCTATTAAAAAATATTTTTTTTTCGTAATTGATTTTGGCACATTCCCATCTGATGAATCGATTTTTTTCCCCCTTTTTCTTTCTTTAAATCAAACCTGGACAGCACCAGAACTTTTTGTCTGGTATTAGATCAGGTTTGGTCTGATTTAGTCCTGTTTTTAGCTGAACAATTAAAAATTTTTTATTTTTGAACTTTGTAGATCAATGCGGAGTTCACCCGAATCACCACAGTTCCACTGCTGTCCACATTCATGAGAAGTCTTGACCAGTACTCTAACCAGTTGATGAAGATTCTACGAAAAAAAGGAGGGGAAACAGCACGGCAGATCACAGCAGCGTTGTCTGCAATTTCACAGGTATTCTGTCTTGTTAAAATGTTCTGTAACTAATAGATTAGTTGCAGGTTGATCTCAGATCTGGTTATGAACCTGTATTTTTAACTTTCTTGGGTTATTTTATGCTTGTTCTCTCCTCCTTCTCATCTCGCTTTTGGCTTATATTCTGGATTTGGTCCTGACACAAAGCAGAGCTAAGTAACTCATGCCCCTAGAGGCCATAAGTGCCGCTGCTGGCATTGCAGCTCTTTCCTTTTTTTGTTACTCATTAATTGTCCAAAGGAATAATTAGCTACACTGAGAAAAGACAAAGGCAGAGGACATTTCACATTTCGCCACAACTCAGTGACACAATAGATTATTTTTTCTTCACTCAAACTAGGTATAAATACTGCAACTGTGGAGGTAGCCCGCATACCTCATATTAACGTGACAGTGTAGTTTTTGTCATTAATTTTTGGAAATATCCATCAAAATGTTTTTGATTCCTTTGAACAACACTCCTAAGCAACAACACTTTTCTTCCTTCTTTTGGGTGGTACACCATGCTAAAGCTGCATTTCCCGCAACCCAATGTATCGCAATCAGTGTAATTGGACTCTAAACTTAAAATCTTTATGGGAATGAATTGGTAAGCTTCTCATTCTCTAACACAAAATAGTACTTGCTTGCAAAAAGCATGTTTAAAATTACTTAGAAAAAATTATGAATTGGTTAAACAATAATAAAAATTGACTTGAGTTCTGTGGGGGTCTCTAAAAACTTCAAAAAAGTAATTGCTCTGCATGTGTCGTTTTGTTTAGAGTTCCCGAATCGAAGTGAAGCGTGAATGCATCCTTAAAGCTGTGATTATATACCTGAATGAGAACCCTGAAAATCTCATCAAAGAGTACATGGTAAGTTCATTTTTAAAAGGATATTCCACCCCTCAGTAAAATTTTGACTGTCATAATTCCCAGAGTTTTGTAAGTTGAAAAATGTATTTTCTAAACAAGCCCAGGTATTCTCCTGATCTGGCAGCAATCAGTTTTCTTTAAATTAGCTTACAACAGTAAAGTGCATGGGAACTACTAGGATTTTCTTTCCATTCACCTAAATTGTTTTATGCGAAACTAAAGAAAATAACCCTGGTCAGCAGAATATTGATAATATTATTGATGCATTCTCCTTCTGCCCTCTCCATGTTTCATGTATCTTCTTCTTGGTCTTTATTTGGTGATAGTCTTAAATCCACATCTTTCTTTGGTCTGTTCTTCTCAGTCTCATTCAAGGATATGTGTAATTAGGGTAGTGTGTACCATTTTAACTAAAATGGAGTGAATAGATAGATGTTGCGATGACCAAAATACAACAGATTTAATATATTTCTATCCTTTTCAGGATTGCAACGTGATGGAAGCTGATGAGCTCGAGAGGATGGATTTGGGTGTTTATAAAATAATCCACGAAGGAGCACAGCCTGATGACTCCCTTGAAGATGTTGGCATCATTATCGAGAGATGCACCGTCTTGCAGGATCTTCACGATGTGGCGAGCGGGTGTGCACTTTTGTTTGGGCTAATCTACTGCCTCAATCTGAGTTACCCAAAGCCACTTCGCTACACATTTGAGTTCTTCCAGAAGGTGCTCATGGGCCTGGAAGACAAAAAACTGTCTAACAAAATCCAAGTGCTGAAGAACAAACTCTGCCAAAAGGAGACACAATGACTCTTCTAAAAAAAAAATGTCCCCCAAAATAAGTGCTCTGTTTTCTTGCAGAGTAAAAATGTTACAGTTTAAAAGTTTATAAATACATATATGTTGATCCTTGTTTGTAAATATTTTTTCAGCACTTTTAATGTTTAAGAGATTTACTGAATGCCATTTTTCTTTTGATTGTGGAAAAGAAAACACATTTCAGAAACTGAGTTTTTTTAAACTGGGGACAAAATTACCCAGATTGATTTTTGTTGTTGTTGTTGTTTCACTTTAACATTTCTGCAGTTTGAGTTACTGTGGTAATTCTGCAGACTGTAGCCATTGCAGACCTACAACTGTACTACACTGCACTGTCACTTGGTTGAAACTGGAAAGTTGTTTCAAATGTTTACATTTTGTTTTAGGCACTTCATTTAATGTTGCATTATGCAGTGTTTTTTCCATGTTTAAGCTTTGGCTCATTGAAAGCTATTGTTCAAGTTGTTAAAGCAACACAATTTTTTTCTCTTGTATTTATACTTAGTTTTAGCTCTGGTGTACCAAGTTTCCATTGCAGGTCAAGGATATTGAGTTTTATAAATGTTAAAGTATGTGTGCACAAAAATGTGAAAGGTTGTCACCTGTACTCAAATGAAGTGCTGGATTTTTGGGCCTAGTATTAAGAATGTTGTGAGATTTGCTACATGCATTTTTTTTTTTTTTTTTGTTAGAAATACCAAAGTTATAGTTCTGAATCTGATTTTTGGAACTGGGGACTAAATCGTCCAGATTAACCTTTTTGTGTCATTTAAGTATTTTATGTAATTGGATTGCTGTGATAGATCTGCAGATCTGACTATAATCAAATGTATTGAATTCGGCATCCTACGGCACACTACAGTGTCACTTTGTTAAAACTTAAATGTTGCTTCCAATGTTGCTCCATTTAATATTGCCTTATGCGGTGTTGTTCCCTGTAGAAGCTTTGCCTTGCTTATCGTTAATAAAGTTGTTGGTGCAGCACCCTTTTTTTTATCTTTTTGCATTGACACTTTATGTAAGCTTTGGTGTAAAAGAGTTTTCTATTGTAGGTCAAGGATCTTGAATGTTATAAATGGTAACATGTGAGCAAGTGTAAAACGGTTCTTGAGTTGTCACCTGTACTGTAGTTAAGTTTTGGACCTTTTGCTGAAGACCTCTTAAGTTCCAAACACCTAATTACAATGTATAGATGACAACTCAGGAATTTTTCTAGACTTGTTTTGATGATACCTAAACATTTAGCATATAGATGAAACTATTCATTAAATCATAATTAATCAAATTAATTAGGTCCAAAGCACAATGTAAATGGTGCCATTAAATTAAAATTAATATTGTCAATTGAACCTAAAGCAATACAGTTAATACAATGAACAAAGTGTTTAAATTCAAATTAATGGTGTTAAATAGTGACAATGAAAGGAAAGCTGTTGCTTTTATATAACAATTTCACTTCTGGTATACATCACCATTGAAATTGCAGACAACAACCATATTGATTTATGTTTAATTGACCAAGTTTTGTGGAAAAGATTGCCTTAACTTTGTCAATTAAATCCAACGTTTTATTTCTTAGAGTGTAGCTTACCTGCTTCCTGACAAACGTGTGAATTATTTATGAATGTAAAGTCGTTATCAGGGTTGTAAATTTCTGTTGTTTTTGTTATTTCAAAGCTTCCTGGTTAAACGAGAAACACAGAAGTTGCTCTAACTGTTACTTCCTCCTTATTAGACGCCGCCGTAGTGAAGATGCACAACGCAGCGAACATCTGTTCCGCCTAAGTCAGCTGTATTTCTGAACTTTTGCTCCCCAGCTGCTTATTAAACTTTGCTTTTGAAAGTGGGTCTATGAGGTTGTGTTAAATTTGATGACAGTATCTGAATACTCGTGTGCTATTTTTCACTCCCCTCCCTCCACACACCTCCCTTCAGCTGGCAGCAGACATTTTGTTAAAGACTGTCATGCTACTGAGACCCTAAAACCCCACTCTTGTCTCCTGACATCAGATTGACGTGAATGCTCTGAGCACTGTATCGAAACAAAATAAATCACTGAGTGATCTGGGACTTTTAAGGCCTCGGGTATTTCAGTCACTTGTTTTTTGCCCAGCAACACTCGCTTTGTGAGCTTTGCGGCAGTAAACAATAGAAACATCTGATGTTGTTTCAGATTCAGCGGCACAACTCCAGACTGGTGGCATGGAGCTTGAACTTGATCAGGTTTACTTCTTCTTTTTTTGACACTTTGCTTTTATAGAGATTGACACTGAAGGAAAACAAGTTTCATGCAGGGGTTAGGTACGAGCAACTCCATCATGGTTGTGAGTTAAAGGCACAAATGACACTGATTTTTACATATGTTCATTTCTATTTCAGCTTTACTTTGATTTTCAACTTAATTATTTTGCTATATCAAGTGACTCAGTCTAAAAGAACTAACTCTTTTCATATAATTTAATTTTGTCTGCTCTCATCTCCAGTGGTGCCCCCCAAAGGGTGGCCAGGAGGGCCACCCCAGTGAAAACCACCCCCTGCCCCCCTCAATAAATCAGATTCATGTTCACACAAACCACACATTCATCTTCTTTAATCAAAATATATATGTTAAAGCTAATAAATACATTTATATTAATAAAATAAAGCATGCTATATGTAATAAATTACAATTTAACAGCTGACCAATTTTGAAAGTAAAAGGGAAAACCCAGTAGTTGTATTTGGTGTTTTTGCTGAAACAGCAACAGGTTCATTAAACTGGTCTAAGGGCCTGTCCACACGTAGCCGGGATCTGCCAAAACGTAGATATTTTTCTACATTTTGGCCTGTCATCCACACGAAAACAGAGTTTTTTCACACGAAAATGGATCTTTTTAAAAACTCCGGCCAAAGTGAAGATCTGTGTTTTCTCCGTTTTGGGTGTCTGCGTGTGGACAGACAAAACCGGTGTTTTAAGGTCCGCAACGTCACTTTCCGCGACAAAAAATGCTGACATCACGTGTGCGACCTGTGTTTACACTAGCCGACAGCATGGATGCCCTCAGAGCTGCGCTTGCTTTATCAATTGTCCAAGCGCTTTTTGCTTTTTTGTTTTTGCAAGCAGAATTACTGCTCCTTGCGGAAGACCACAGACGAAGGGCGAGGTTAAGAACGGGGGAAGTACTGCCGCCTACAGGTCTGGCATGTCCTTAACAACGTATTTATCCGGGTACGTGTGGACAGTTTTTTTTTTTAAACGAGGTGGTGTGGATGCAAGTTTTTGGAGGGGCGGATATTCGTTTAAAAAAACGGCTACATGTGGACTAGGCCTAACTTTAAAGCAATACCATTTGAAACAATGACTGAAATTGGCTCATTTTTTTCTGAAATATTTGTTTCTCAAATTTTAGCTAAGCGTGTTGGATACACGGGACTTATTTTGTTTTTAATGAAAAATAATGAAGCAGCCTTGAAATGAGTTACCACATGAACCAACTTGGTGTTCCACCTCAACATTTTCACTGGCCCCCTATGAACATTTCCTGGGAATGCCACTGCTTACCTCAGCTCCCTAAATTTCTCCAAATACCAATTTCTTTTTGTAAATCGAGTAAAAAACGTTGTCAAGAACGTTATCATGCAGCTCAGTAAGATCATTTGATGTTTTGTAGGCAACAGTGGATACGAAAGCAGGGCTTTTCTGCTCAGTCCACCAACAACAGAAACAATAGCAAGAACTGAGAGAGTTAAACTGTTTAATTGCATCTCATCATTATTCATTGTTACTTTTTACCAAACACTGTAAATCATTGCTAGATGACATGAAAAATCTAATAAATGATTAAATGCAAACAATATGAATTAATTTGTATCTATGTTTGCTCTATAGACGATTATGACTGCTTCGTAATGTTAAGTTGTTTTAATCTGGGGCTTAATAAGGAACATTAGTGGTGATGAAAACGGCTCAAATGTTATTACTTCTACCCTGGAGTGGAAGCTTATTTCCTGCCTCGTACTGAGTCATAAGTCCAGTGGCTGTGTTCATGCAGATTCCATATGCTACCTTTTCATCCGTTTGAGTCCATTTGCTATAACTAGCTGTCCGGCTCATTGAAGTAGTTTTCTTTAATTGTCTTACGTTCCTCATTACATTTCCCGTATCCTTCTCTCTGGTCGTCTCTCTCCTGCCCTCTTTTTCCTCTCGCTGTTTCTTTTTTTCTTTCTATGCTTGTTGCAGCTTTCAGTCTGCTCGTTGTCTCACACGTAGCTCCGGTTTTTCTTGCTGGTTATAATTATCTCTTCATTCTGGCCAGTTTTTCCACCTCTGGCTTCCTTGATGTGCTCCCTTGCTCTTTCATCTTAGGCTGTGAAAACGTATCGGCAGCTGCCTGCTCCTTGTTCAGCTGGTTTTATACTGTCTTTACTTTCGACCTTTATTGTTTTTCTTCTAGCTGGCACTTTTCCTACCTCAAGTGGAGGAGTTTAAGTATCTCGGGGTCTTGTTCACGAGTGAGGGTAGGAGAGATCGGGAGATCGACAGGCGGATTGGTTCAGCGTCTGCAGTGATGCGGACGCTGAGCCGATCTGTCGTGGTGAAGAGGGAGCTGAGCCAGAAAGCCAGGCTCTCGATTTACCGGTCGATCTACATCCCAATCCTCACCTATGGTCATGAGCTTTGGGTAATGACCGAAAGAACGAAATTGCAGATACAAGCGGCCGAAATGAGTTTCCTCCGTAGGGTGGCCGGGCTCAGCCTTAGAGATAGGGTGAGGAGCTCGGACATTCGGGAGGTACTCGGAGTAGAACCGCTGCTCCTCCGGATCGAAAGGAGTCAGTTGAGGTGGTTTGGGCATCTGGTCAGGATGCCTCCTGGACGCCTCCCTGGGGAGGTGTTTCGGGCATGTCCTGCCGGCAGGAGGCCCCCGGGTCGACCCAGGACACGTTGGAGAGGTTACATCTCCAATCTGGTCCGGGAACGCCTTGGGGTCCTGCCGGAGGAACTGGTGGAGGTGGCCGGGGAGAGGACGGTCTGGGGCTCCCTAGTTGGGATGCTGCCCCCGCGACCCGGACCCGGATAAGTGGAGAAAGACGAGATGAAGACTTTTCCCCAATTCTACAAGCATGTTTGTTTTCCTTGTGCATTTGGCTCAAATGTCTTTTTTTTGTCCTCCTTTTCTATCTGTGTGTCTCATCTGAACATTTATTTACCTAACTTTAAACCCACATTTTACCATCTCCCATCAAGCTGACCCAAAAGCCCGTGCTGCCCATGCACCAGTAGGTTTTCTACCAGTTAATAATGACTTTAGTCCACCACCCTGTCCTCTGGATGTCACACTTCGCTTTTCCCTCACTTCCTTCTGCCTCTACATCGGCCTGCTTGCCACAGCTGTCTATTCAGGGCCAAGAACGTACTGAGGCTTCAAAAATAGGCCCAAGTCAGATTTGTGAAGCCCTATAGAGATGCTTTCTTGGGTCTTTGTAACACTACTGAGCCTGAAATCAACTGCCAAGATGTTCTCTCATAGCATTTTTCCTATCTACTCCCCATTCTCCACATACTTTTAACTTAAATCCATTTTTATCTCTTTTCCCTTTTCCTTTCCGTTTCACATTTTATTGCCCTCTTCCACCTCCTAGCCTGTCATCCTCTCTCCTCTCCTTGCTGTGCCTTTGCCATGGTGCACTTCAGTTTCTTTTTCTCTAACTTGCACCTTTCTTCACACTTGGCTAGGTTAACCTTTCCGTTTAGCCGATCACTCTCTTCCTTTTCTTTTGTTGTAATGTGTTTTCTTGCATGTGTTTCTCAAATGTCTCTGTCTTCAGGACCTTTTTCTATTCTTCTCTTCTTTCCCTGTGTCGCACATTATTTTCCACCCTACAGTTTATCCCTCGCTCCTCTTTCCATATTTTCCTCCGTGATGCTTCTCTATCAGTGCTCCCTTGTAGTCCTATCAGTTGGGTGCAGCTATTTAAACCCTGTATTTATTCTCCACACTGGAGCTCCTTTCAAAACACCAGAGAAAAGGCGGATAGGAGGGTGCATAGATAACCGGTGTAAGAGCAAAGGAGAAATCTTTAAAGTTAACTTGAAATATGAAATGACCCATCTTTGTAAATGTCAGCAGACATCCCTGTACCTGAATACACATGATAAGGTGTTTGCTGTGCACTGCTTTGCATTTTGGTGCTCAGGCAAATTTGAAAATTGTAAAAGTAAAACTGGACATTATAGATTAATTTTTTTTATTGTTGGAAAAAACTTTTCAATGTGTGATTTATAGTGTCGTCTTCATTTCTCTTTAAAACTTTGAGTTTAAGTTTACATTTAAAAAAGGAACATTTTACATTTGTAAAACTCTGTTTGTGGTGCTTCCATGCCGTTGCAAGAAACAGACCTTTTCATAAAGGAGCCTATTTAGTCAGACTCTCGCTGTTACTTTGTGCAAAAATAGCAGCGAGCAGTTATTACATATTTTTTTGGCTTTCTGTTTGCTTTATCCTGATACTTTTTAAAGAAACTTGTGTCAAACGGGTTATAACTGTGGAAGAAAATATACACAATATTGAAGAAAAACAAACCTTTTGGTATTCTGAAAATCATTCGTTTCTCTGCTGGGAGGCCGACTCTTCAAAAGAGAATGTAGCTTTTTAGCTCTGCTTCCACCATAAGAGTTCTGGGAAATTCCTGGGAAGTGGAAAATTGACCTCAAGATAAGACATCTTGGTCTTCTTAGCTGCTGTGTCTTTATAGAAATGCGGCCTTTTTCAGGACTTTGGTAAGATGTCAGTGAGTGATGTCACTGATTAGTGGAAAAAACCTCACGGGCGTTAGTTTTTCTTGATTACTTAAACATAACCAATATTTTGAACTCAAATTCCAAAACATAATTCTATTTTTAGGGATGTAAGAAAATATTGGTATGGCAGTATATCACAACATTTTTTCCAGAGATATTATATCGATATCCAAAAGCCATGTATCTAATTTTTGGAAGAATTTACATGCAAATGTGTTTATTTTATTTTATTTTGGTGCAATTCAAACATAGACCACTAGTTGGCAGCAGTGTGCGATAGGTTTTATTTCCACCACTGAAATGTAAATGCCTCTATTATGGTTCAGATACCTCATGCCAAACATGTTATATCAGTTTGGACTGTTTATTGAATATTCCTCCAATAAATTCAGTACAAATAAATCACTAATAACGTCTGACTGAATGTATCACAACAACATATAGTGATAGATTGTATCATCTCCCCTGTATCGTGATACGCATCGAATCTCCAGAATTTCACCAATATTCATCCCTAGTGTTTTTCAAAAAGCAAACCTATTCCCTGAACCACACACACTATTTCCCTGCTTTAACACGAGTAAGATTTGGTGAACTGTTGCTACAGAGCTCTAAACACAAATCCCAAGACTTTTCAGTGCTGACACCAGGTGGTCATTTGGAAAGTACTAGCAGTCAGCAGTGGCGGATTTAGCAATTTGGGGACCCAAGGCTAACACAGACATGGGGCCCCTTTACAATAAATTTGTGACGATCTTACATTTAACTGGATTTGCAAAACTCTCCCCTCTTCTGACATGAGTTATTTTCAGTTTTTAATAGTCCTTCTCTTTTTTCCTGTCATTCTCTCCTTTTGAGTGCCTTCAACATTTCAGTTAGTGCTCCTGTGCTTTTGCCTTTCTTTTCCTTTTTTCTTATATTTTTTATTTTGGTCTATGTTTTCCTCCCTTTAAACATTTTCCATTGTCTTTCCTTTTCTGCTTCCTTTTGATGTTTACATTGAAAAATGATGTCACTTTTGGAAGTGAAGATAAAAGCTCTTTTAAAGCATGCTGCTTCTTATATATATATATCTTATATATATATATCTTATATGCGTCTTATTGGAGCCACTAGGATAACTCAATTTCATGCTTAATGTTTTGACTATCGCTTTGAGTTTGTTACGAACGCTCCCGCCTCTCCTTCTTTTTCTGCTTTCTCTTCTTCTTATTTGTGGTCTTATGGCACTTGGCAAACAACAATTTGGTGCATTACCGCCACCAACTGGATTGGAGTCGAATGACTAACAATCACTTCCTGTTTGTCCATCGGCGTCTTAAAGGAATATTTCATTGTGGCATTAACAGAGGGGTGCCAGCAGTCAAGGCTACCCCCCCCCCCCAACATAAGGGGGCCCCAGGCGGCCTCCTACCTATGCCTAATGGTAAAACCGCCACTGGAAGTCAGTAATGTTAACTGAAGTCAGCACAGCTTGAGCTCAATTAGCACACAAGTAACCAGCTGGAAACATTAGGTGTCACAATTTAACACACACCAATCAGAAACTTTGATGGATAGATAAAAGGGCAAAGAGCAGCTCATTCAAGTTTGAACAAATGGATCCAGAGCCATGCAAAGGAGGTGGTAAAGGAAGAGGATGTCCAGGACACCAGCGATAAGGAGGTGGAAGAGGAGGAGGAGGACAACAACAACAACAAGGAAGGGGAAGAGCAAGGAGACAAATGGTCTTTGATTAAATTCAAGCAACTTTAGTTGACCGTGTTAATGTGCGTGGCTGGGCAACAAGTCCAGCTTTACTATTGCCCCCATATTCAGAACCCCCACCCCCTCCCAATGCCTGGCTAGGGCCAATATAGATTGTGGTGTGGATGAGATTCTCTGGCTTGACCCAGACCACAGACAGGAGGCTGAGGTGGAATACTGTTTTTGATGTGTGTTGAACTGTATGGTGCATGAATAAAAATGCATCACTGTATATACATTGGTTGTGTCCTTTGTGTTCATCATGTGAAAAGCTTTTTGTGAGGAAAAACCACGAGCAGCATGACTTACCAGCTTTGCAAACATTGCTTTTAATTTATTGCACCAATGTGTAAGACTATATTGTAGTGCGTGTGCACGTGTGCGCGTGTGCGTGTGTTTGAGGCCTTGTGTGTGATATCTGTAGGTAAAGTTTGGTTTTTCAGCAAGAGTGATTGGTTTTGAGTGTAGAGCTTCATTTTGACCTGTAAATACAATGTTTGGGAAATTGGGATTTGTGTTTGGAGAATAAGAGGAATAATTTCAAGAAATGTGTTTAAGCAGAATAACTGTAATGACATTACACATTTTGTTCTGTCAAAGTAAAGTGGAATTTAATCGGTTCAGAGGACACAGAGTGGCTGTGAGGAGATAAGTTTTGCTTTTGGTTCTACAAACAAACACTAGGGGGAGCTAAAATCAAGCCAAAACTGCCTAGTTCCCATTTAAATAGCAATGTGTTATTGTAATGGAAGCACTGAAAAGGCAAAAAGTCAATGAAAACGTTTTGATTTAAAACTTATTTCTTCTGTTTGTTCATGTATTTTACGTGACCCAAAAGAATCATTGTGGTGGGTGTTGCTCTCGCCACCTAGTGGCTCAGTGGAAGCCTTTGAGGGCTCTTGGTAGAAAGATGTGAATGTTTGTTTATAACCCAAGGAAAAAAGGCTGCTAACAGATTATTTTGAGAAGTATAAATGGGGAATTAATCTGTACTTTTATTAATGTAATTCTCTTTTTAATTGACAGGTTTAGTAGTAAGAGAGGCCAGTATTGAAATAACACGGCAGCAAGTGGAGGAGCTGTTTGGTCCTGAAGACTACTGGTGTCAGTGTGTGGCCTGGAGCTCTGCTGGAACCACCAAAAGCCGCAAAGCACATGTCCGCATTGCCTGTGAGTACCCAAACACACACCGTTTCTACGCATGGTAGAGCACACGGTAAAAACACATGTGATTTGATAGGTATCACTCACAAACGATTAACACTTTTTATTTTCTCTGAGAGAAAAAAAAACACATATTAGAAACTGAAACAGTCATCATCTCCTCTCTGCTGGGTCCAATCTCATGCATAGTGTCTGGTGTGAACAACAGAAGACGAGCAGATGAACAAATCTGATGAAGAAAAACAATTATCTCATCGAATGCAAACAGAACCTTCACTACGCAGCTGGCCAGTGAGGTGTGTTAATCATTGTGACGCTCAATCATTTCAACACGTTTACTCTATTGTACTCACTCTGCTCACTTATCTGCAAATGCGCTGTGTCTGAGTTTCTGCTGACAAAAACCATTACTCCCTCATCAAATTATGGAAAAACATTTTATCAGCTTTTTGTTTTGTCAAAATAAGCTTTTATTTCTTTGAGAGGAGGATGATTCAATTCTGAACTTCATTTTTGGATTATTTGGTGATTCTGAAAGAAACTTTTGAAAGAAAACAGTTAACATTAGATAATGAAATTGTTTAAATTTATGTCAGATTTTAGAATAAAGGGTCCGTTAGTTCACTGAAAACACACCGAACATCTTATTTAAAGGTGCAATATGTAGACATGCAGTACAAATGTCATCCTGTGGTAAAATTTGGTTTCTGCGACCACTTTAAACAACTATGGAGCTTTTTGCTGGCCTTCATCAAATTGCAATAGTCTATGCTGTAGTATTAGCTCGCAGAAGACACGGCAACCCCACACTCACTGGTGGTAAACAGTCGTTACATCCCTCCTTCCTTTGCTTGGTAAGGAGAAAACTGGCAATCCAGCAGCCAGCTGGATATGAATAATGTTTCAGTTTAACCTTCCTTCCAAAATGACTCAAACATTAGACTCTTTTGGGATTTTTTTTCACTGTAAAAGTGTCACTATATTCATACACAATGCACCTTTCAAACTTAAACTAGTGCGTTTTGTGGATGTTTGCAAAAAATTTTTGCTCAAATGTCAATAAAGAAAAGAATGGGAAACAAATTAATTGTAAACTATGTAAATAATTGTATTTGTTCCAGAAATGTTATTTATTTTAACAAATAAAATAAAAATAATGTGTTTTATTGTGCATAATAACCTAAACTTCTATCCTGCTGCAGGAAGCTTCTGTGGTGTCAATTTCTATTTATTTATTTAATTTTTTAAATATCCTGGTCAGAAAGAAACTGAACTTGAGAATTTTATTCTACTATTATCCATTATTGGTTTTCTTTAACTGCTTATCCATGCAGGGTCGCTTCTATACATCTGTGGATGAACTAACCAAAGCTTAAACTGAACAAGATCAGCTGGTCAAATCATTTGAGAAGGACCAGAGTGAAGGAATGAAGTGGGATCCTTTTACGAGTGATGCCAGCTGACAGACACCGAGAAGCACGAGAGCTGAGATGTTTGATCTAAATTGTCAACAAAATCCTGTTTGTGGTCTCAAAAACAGCCTCATATAACACGATGGATTTTTCCCTTAAAGTTTCTTTCACTGAGGATTGAACCCACAGCAGTCGTTTTTCCAGGCGTCATTGCTCTTGTCGATTCGGCCGTATAGGACAACTGGGACTTGTCTTGGTGCTCAGGTTATAGAGAGGTCTTGCTAAAGAGAAATACCAATATCAAAATCAACCTCCCCTCTCTGGTTTACCTGGCTTATGCTGACAGTTTGGATGCACTCGGGTGCACTCTCAAAAGGACAGCCTGGGACTTTGACAGAGTCTGCTCAGCAGACACTCGGGGAGAATAAACTCAGCACATCTGTAGCAGCGTACCAGACAGGATCACTCGAAAAGACATGCACCCTTGAAGTCTTGTTGTCCCAAGTTGGTAATATTCCTCTGCAGATGGAAATCCATCATGTTGACCCCGGTGTTTCTCCTCTGCTTATTTTATTTGGCCATAAATATAGGTGACACATTTATTTTTCAATGCTTCTTTGACATTTTTTCCATGAACTGCCATCTTCTCGTTTTTTGTAAATTTAAAGAAGATATTCACTGAGAAATGGATAATTCATGTTTAATTTAAAATGTGATCACTCTGAGTTTTACACTCAGGCTGAACATAAAAATAGTTTTCCACCCATATTTAAATGTGCTTTATAAATAAACTATGATATGGTATGGTATTTACCGAATTAGCCAACAAAAAATAAATGACACGGAAATGTCGGGGTCGAAAAAAGCCTGTCTCTTCTATGTCACAGGAAAAAAATTCATTCGTGAAATCACTCATCTTAGTTGCACAGCGTGCATATTGGTTAGTAATAATAATAATAATGCATTGAACTTATATGGCTCTTTTCAAGACACCCAAAGACGCTTTCACACACTCTCACATTCACACACTGCTAGTGATGGTAAGCTGCTTGTAGCCACAGCCGCCCTGGGGAGGTCTGACAGAGGCGAGGCTGCCATTTGGCGCCGTCGGCCCCTCTGACCACCACTAACACAGACAAGTTGGGTGAAGTGTCTTGCCCAAGGACACAACAGCAGGATACCCCTGGCGGGAGCTGGAATCGAACCCATGACCCTCCGATCATGAGGCAACCCGCTCTACCACCTGAGCTACTGCTGCCCTAGTTAGTAGAAGCTAACCGTTAGCATTAGCAACTCCACAAGGTGACGAAACATGTTCAAGTCAAGAAGCAAAGTCTGTCTGCCACAAGTGAAGCCAACAAAGAAGTGAAAAAAATTACAGTTTCCCCCTCATCCAATAGGGGCTGGACAGCAAGTTTCCATTGACTTCCATGTAAAAAAAAAGGCCAACTTCACAGCATGAATGAACATGTTGACAGCCTGGTTTACAAAACCATTTTAAGTTTAATAGGTGAAGTTTGCAGTCATGACAACTCTGGGGGGGGGGGGGGGGGGGGGGGGTAATATTTTGTAACTTATCCATTTAAATGTAAATATAGCTTGAGGTGATGAATGTTTGGGGCGTCGTTTGATTGACAGGTATCAAATGAGTCATCAGCGCCAACTGTAGCGCCTTGCACCCACTGCTTGCTCCAGAGAAGCACTCAACCTCTGCTTCACGTCGAAGGCAGAGGGTAACAGAGTCACTCAACAAATGTTTTTTGGCTAAAAGTACCCACTGTCTTCTGTTAGCGTTGTTTAGCCCAGTTAGCTTGTAGCTACATTGGCTCAGAGTTCTGATAAGTGTCAATAATGTGCCCCCACCCTCAAAAACACACTCTCATTTCCATTTTTATGCTTTCTGTGAGTGCTTAAATGTTTCATATGGCCAAGATGGCGGCTGTAGGATCGGCCCATTGGGCTCCAACGCAGCTCATTTCGGTGCGGAGGGTTTGTTCATTGTATGTACAGTCTATGGTTCGGGCCTGTGTTATTTGTGAGGATAAAATATCAACATCAATATTTTCCCAATATAAAGTGCTAACGAAGGCAGTGGAAGAGTTGTGTAGCTGTTAGCCAATCAGAGGTGAGATAGACCCATATCATGAATATTTAGTTTAGTTTATTTCAAACAAAGAAAACATACATTATTTTTTTAAATACCACAAACAGAAAAAATACATATCATCTCTTCTTCCTGTGTTTGAAAAGGAGTAGGCTGAAGCGGAAACTTATATATCCCTACCCCTTTATACAAGTAATTTTTACTTGTTTACTAAATCTAACACAAAACCTACAATAAAACAAACAAAATGGTACAAGTCACCAAAAACCACCAAACTATATGGAAAAAAACAAAAAACGAAAGAAAAAAAACATAATTTTACAATTGATACAATTTACTTTTCCTTAGAATAAAGAACACCCACATAAATCATCTATTTTCCATTATATACTTGTTCAGAATATGTTTTTTATAATTCATTTTAAACACATTTATATTTGTACTTACTTTGATTTCTTCTTCTAAATTGTTCCATAATTTAACCCCTATTATTGTGATACACATCTGTTTTAATGTTGTTCTAAACTTATGTATCTTTAAGTTTAGTGTCCCTCTCAGGTTATATCCTCCTTCTCTCTCTGTGAACAGTTTTTGTATTTTATCAGGCATTAATTTATTTCTTACTTTATACATTATTATTTGGATTTTATAAAAGAATTTGTCATTTTTTCATATTAAAGAGTAAGTGTCCAAATCCTGCTGTTTTCCACCCTTCTCTCCTCCAACTAACTTCTATTTCCATAAAAAGGAACTAGAGGTTTTTTCCACAGAAAACAACGCCCAATGCATTCATTCATATTACACCCCACAGCACATTTAGTGAGAGACCGAGTTAAGGCCCACTTTAATGCTTCTTAAATCTATGTAACACACTGCATGTAACATTTTATCTCTGATTCTTATTTTGCTGTTGTTATTTTACCTGAGCCTTTTATTTAAATAAAGTCAATCTAAACACATTTATGCAATTGCTTAGAAAAGCATCCACTCTCGGTGCACACAGCAAGGAAATCAAAACAAACAATTTCCGGATCGTGGAAGTTCGACAGTGACATACTTCTCAGATCATTTGGCTTGTCAAATTTTACGTCTGACTTAACTGCAGAAGCACTGCTGTGTGTCGGTATGTGAGGATGTTTTCCCGTCTGTCAGCAGAGATTCAGAGACAAAGTCAGAAATATCCTTCTGAGCTCCGCTAATAACGTTCTCGAATGGAACGGGTCCTCCTCGGGGTGCAGTGAATGCTGGGTAATGTGCTGTTTTTGGCTTTTGCTTGGCCGGATGAATGCTAAGAGACACAAGCAGGGAAGTGTGTGTGTGTGTGTGTGTGTGTGTGTGTGTGTGTGTGTGCGTGTGTGTGTGTGTGTGTGTGTGCGTGCGTGTGCGTGTGTGTGTGCGTGTGTGTGTGTGTGTGTGTGTGTGTGTGTGTGTGTGTGTGTGTGTGCATGTGTGTGTGTGTGCAGGCTTCTGCGACTCAGAGGCAAACACAT